AGCTTCAGAATACCTCCATCCTCGCCACCAAGACCCGCTATATGGATCGCATTATTAGGGAGGCAATTGAGATTGAACTGCATCCAGGAAATATGAACAGAGAGGGGGGGTTTTGTCTGAGCAAGTCTTGGAAACCTCTCATCTGTTCTCTTAAAAAACCCCCACCGGGATATGACGCCAGATCCAGAAGGCCACACAGGCCATGACCAACCAACATAACAACCCCCACCCCTCAGCTCACGGGTGGTGCCCAGCCTTCAACCTTGCCTTTTCTCTCTCCTACACAAAAACCATGCTTGTCTTAGCTCCCTTCCCCAACCCCTCCCACACTACTGCTTTCACTTGTATACTTGCCCTTCACCCTTCTCCCTCACTGCTCTCACATAGCTGTGTATTTTTCCACAGTCTGCTTTTACCGGTTCTCACGGTCTCTTTACTTGCAGATTCTTATATTTTTTTTTCTTCTACCCTGAAGATAGAGGCGATACGTTCCTCCGAAACGTCGGTTAACACCATATATACACGGTGCCAAATCCCAGAAGACTGCTTTCTTCATAGTCACCGCCGTGAAAGCCTCAAATCTTACACAATATATAGCATCAAATAGTAGCATGACTGGTAATAAACTGGAAAGGATTTACGGAAGTGGTCATTGCCTTATCAGGATGACAGATCAGGGTGATGAATGAATGACAGATTGGAAAGGATCTAGAAGGAAGAAATCATGGATTAACTGGAGGGACTGGGAGAAACCAGAAAACCTAGGTCAGGATCGCTTGTGTCCCAGCCAACATCTGAACTGAACACCTGAATACAAGTCTCAAGTGTTACAACTACACCACAAGCATTTTAGCTCTGAGCAACCTATGGAGGCATATTTTCTGTATACTTGCAGATCTGATTGGAGAATTCTCCAGTTATGCACGTCTTATTCTTATCTACTTATACATACTTCATTTATCAACACTACCAGCAACTGAGACTGTACAGAACTGAATATCTGGATAGCAAATAAGAAATGAGAAAGGATGCAGGAAGAAACAGTCATGGCCAAACCTATGGCACCATCCTGGCATTTGTCTGGAGAGACTGAGGGAAAATCATGAAAAACTTCAGTCAGGACAACCAGCATCTCAGCTGAGGTCTGAACCAAGCAACTTCTAAGTACAAATCACAAGAATTATGACTTGAAAATCCTGCTCGGTAAGTTCGGTTTTTAAACTAACACAATTATCAGAATACAATTTGATAATAACAGCTGCAACTGCAATAATATTCCAGACTACATAACGTAAAAACCTGAAGACCACAATCCAACTCTTCACCACCATGAAACCCTTAAATCATATACTGAACTGTAATTCCAGATTATGTTCAAATGTCATAACAGTCATAAGAGATTCTGGGTCCTCACAGAGTTAATATTAAGATTACAGTTTTCTGGGACGTGACGCTGCGTAGTATGGTGCATTAAGTACCTCTCCTGCCCTGAAGATGGAGGCAACAGGTTCCTCCACATCTTGGCACATATCCACACTACAGGGTGTTACACATAAGAACACTGTTTTCTTCGTCACAACAGTCCTACACTGTAAAAGGAACCTGACAGATTTGGTCAATCATGAAAATGAAACTCATCAATCACTTTTGTGAATCTTAAATTTTAATGCACATTGCTTATTTCATTATCACTTAAAAGAAACAAGAAGAGGAGATTATGATTAGATGTATATCATTCATTCAATCATCAGTAATCTGTCAGATGACAGGTCCACAGTCTCTTCCAAAACAGTTCCTCCACTTAATGCGATCTAGAGCTTTCTCCTTCAAATGAAAATATCCTCTTCTGTCCCCAAGGTCATCCAAAATCTCCTTACGTCTACTTCCTCATCTTCTGGTTCGCATACATGGTGTCTCTGTTTTTGGAAAGAGACTATCCAGGAAAAGTGATACTGTGGGAGTTTTTCCATTTGCTTTCCACATCGCAGTACAACAGCCGTTCAAACCACTCTGGTCACGCCTGTTGCTATACGAACTTGAACCATCTCGAGCACCATGAAAGTACTACAAATTTCACAAATAAGACACACATAGAGAATAACAAAAGGGTTCTGATGGTGCCCCCTCTGCCACAAAAAAAAAATTATCTGGTAAAACAACTGTAATGTATGTAACAGTCTATTTCAGTATAATACTAAGAAAGAGTTTCTACAGATTCCAGACACCTACAATTTTCATGATGGCACTTAGCATTTTCTTCCTGTTATATTACTGCTAGTGGTTCTTCCCTTCCTACATCCCTCTTGTATCTTTACTTCCTTTCCACTTTCTCCCTCACTGCTTTTAGGTCCCTTTCTAGTTTACTTTTCTTATTTCTAAAAAAATATAATAATGCTATAAAAGCACCTTGCTGTCTGCATGACCCCCTGTAATGCCTGAAAGCCAGAACAGTGTCACGTCAGAAGTGAAGGTGATTAATTCTTCTCAGAACTTCTTGCTTTGTCTGTCCTATCATCCCTCTCCCCCTTCTTTCCTCCCTCTCCTTCACGCTAAAAAAGTTCCCTCACCCCCTTCTTCCATTTCTCTCTTCCTCTGTCTCTTGTTCACCTTTATCCCATATTCTTTTTCCTTCCCTTTTATTTTTCCACCCTACTGTCCTTCCCCTTCCCACATCTTAGCAACAGCACGTTGGGTTTTCGCAAAAATTTTATAGGAACTTGCCATTATACTGTCATGTGTTATTAGTGACTACAGATGGGGTTTGGATTGGTGAATATATTTAATGACCATTTACAGGTCATAACTACAAACAACTATTAACAGTACTGCTGATTTCCATACTACAAATCACTAAATACTAAGTCTTTTCAGTCTACTTACATGGGTCTTTACTTGGTAACAGCTCTCCATTTCTGCTTCCACTTGCACTGTCCGCTGGTTAACACTCTACAGCTGAACCTTCAGCTGCACTGCACTCAAAGTCATATGGCTTCAGAGTGAACCATCAGAGAACATTGTTTGCATAACCTTTTCTATTGTTGTGCGATATCACTGTGCACGCATATGCCACGGGCACTACATGGCAACTACTGTATGCATCATGTATCGTGACACATTCTCTATTGTTGTGTGGGCATAACTGGCAACAGCTGATGTTTACAGAGTCACTTCTTAGCAAAGGGTCTATACACAATATATATGCTGATTTTTTTTGTTCCTAGTGGGGTGGGACTAAGTCCCTTGTACTGCGGCCACTTTTGGCCTATTGTACTAGCCCCAGATGCTAGGCGAGGGTGACTGTGGACCAATTGGTGGAATGAAGATTGGCAGGGGAAACCAAAGTACTCAGAGAAAACCTGCCCCAGCACCACTTTGTCCACCACAAATCCCACTTGACCAGATCCGGTATTGAACCCGGGCCGCCGCGGTGGGAAGCCAGCAACTAACCGCTTGAGATATGGCACGGCCTATGCTGATGTTTCAATTGTCATCTATATAAATAAAAATGTAAATGTTGGTTTGTTAGCCCTCGAAGATCTCCGAAAGTTCTTCACCGACTGCTTTGAAATTTTGACACAGCATTGCATTCGAGCACACGTGTTTTTATATACCCATTATATAGATGTCACACCTGTGACAGGTAAAAACATGCGTCTTTTGAAAACCGGAATTGAAATTTGGAATTCAGAAGAGTGACCCCTATGGAAACGCTAGAACAGACCGTTGCATAGGAAGTAACAGTAGCGATACTGTATCGAATCTCCATGGTTACGACAAATACATGGAGTGTTCCCACAGAGACAATGCAATAACAATGGGTCGTTGCGTAGGAATCGTGGAATCAACAAAGCAGCACATGGCTGAAGATATTTTCCTTCGAATGCGCAAGGATAATTCCAATATGAACATGGTTTTCACAGCAGAAATCTACGAGGCGTTGATAATGATGGAGGAGTTGTGCTTAGAAATCACGAACAAAGTTCTCAATCAATTGGGAATGCCATCACCAAATCAATCTTCTGCTCCTTTGTTCAATGTAGAATTGCATCATGAACAAAATTACAACACGGGTGATCTTTTGTCGTATGTGCAATCAAATATTCCTAAGCTAACACTTGAGCAAAAAGGCATATACGATCAAATCATGCAAACTCTCAATAACGGGGTTGCAGAAATCTTCTTCTTACATGCGCCTGGAGGAACTGGTAAAACATTCCTAATTAGATTGATTCTGACAACAATTTGATCCCAAAATGACATAGCCTTAGCTCTTGCGTCGTCCGGAATAGCTGCGACATTGCTACCAGGTCACTGCCATTGAACATGCAGTTCATTGAAAATCCCACGTGCAACATTTCCAAAGGATCAGGCATGGGAAAGGTATTGCAGAAATGCAAACTTATTGTTTGGGATGAATGCACAATGGCGCACAAAAAATCGCTCGAGGCTCTGATCAATCATTGCAAGATTTGCGTGGAAACATCAGACCATTTGGGAATGCATTAATATTGCTTGCAGGGGATTTCAGGTAAACATTACCTGTAATTCCTCGATCGACACCAGCAGACGAAATAAATGCTTGCCTGAAATGCTCTACTTTGTGGCGACACATAAAGACATTAAAATTAACTACAAATATGCATGTCCAGCTGCAAAACGATCCATCAGCTGAGATATTCTCGCATCAATTGCTGGAAATTGGGAACGGAAATGTGCAGGTTGATCTGACCTCAGGACGAATTTCATTGCCTCATAACTTCTGCAATTTAGTGACGTCAAAGGAAGAATTGGTTGAAAAAGTATTTCCCAATGTTGAAACCAATTATAAGAATCACGATTGACTGAGCGAACGAGCTATTCTTGCGGCCAAGAACAAAGACGTCTACGAACTTAACAATATCATTCAGTCTAACATTCAATGCGAAGCAGTCACATACAACTCTGACGACACTGTTGTGGAAGCAGATGAAGCGGTTAATTATCCAACAGAATTTTTTAATTCACTCGATCTGCCACAGCAACGCGTGGCCGGGTACAGCTAGTACTGTTAATAAAAAGGCTAATATCTCACACAAGCTATTCTGCCTTTCACTCTGATTCTTTGAGCTTCTGAAGGTGGCTCCTAGATTTATAGGAAATTTGTTCAGGTTTGCTGAGAAGAATGTGGTGATAACATGGCCATGGATAACACCGAAATCAAATAACAATATGCCCCCGTAACAAATCCCATCTATGAATGAGGTACTGAAGATTTCATGTTTGAGACCAGCTAGCTCTAGTGATGACAGAGGCCCCCTCTGCTGTAATTTGATCCCACAATAACCTGCAGAATCATTAACATTATGTTATCAAAGGCAAAATGGAAATTATACCAAATAGGTGCTTCTATCAAAAACTACCTTGACCACATACCGAAGCCTGAAACACAATCCCTACATAGCACAGAACCTAATCATGACAGCAGTTCATAAACAGGTATATTCTGTGTCAGTACTGTCTTCTGGGATATTCTGCTAAATCTGGGTTTCAGAGGAACATCAGTAAAGACCTACTGGACTATATAGCATCACATTCCAGAAGAAAAACTTCACACGCATGCTGTGAGAATAAAACAGTTTTATGTCATTCCAGAAGAAAAACTTCACACGCATGCTGTGAGAATAAAACAGTTTTATGTCAAACAGCTGCCATAACATGATCCTATCTACTTGATCACACAGGTGCCATTTGATGACCGCCGTCTGCTCTTCCCACCCATACCAGCAGCCATAATAGCAGCAATATTATATTCAATGTATGCAATAATATTTCCATCATGGATGGTGTCATTCACTGCAGGAGGCACTGTTCTGGGTAAGTATTTCCTGAACACAAAACCACTCTAAACTATACCAATTTCTTAAGCAAGACAATGCATGAAAAGTAAAAACAAACCATTAAGAATTCATGCAATACATTAACTGACATTCCTAACTGATATAAATATATCGTGTTAATATCAATTAAAGTAATAGTAATAAGCAGGGCCCAGACTTTGATGACCTGAAAATATTTAAAAAATGATCTATAAAATGACCGAAAAAATCCAGAAAAATGACCTAAAATATGACCCAAAAATGTAATATGCAGGGCCCGGATTTTGATGACCTGAAAATATTAAAAAATGACCTATAAGATGACCGAAAGAATCCAGAAAAATGAGCTAAAGGAGAAAAGAAAGAACACTTTGCTTCCATGTTATTCACATTTCAGAAAACATATGAAGAAAAATTCCATAAAATGGCCAAAAATGACAAGAAATACCCCTAAAAGTAAAGAAATTTACCAAAAAATTACCTTAAACCTAAAAATGTAAAAAAATGACAAAAAATTACCTATGAAATTTACATTTCTGTAACCAGCAGCTCATATCTGAGATTTATATATTTAAGAGCATCACATAGGATACAAGGAAAAAAAAAGGTGACATGTCATCAAAATCCGGGCCCTGGTAATAAGTGAACATTATGCTAGTAATGACTCTGCACTGTCCAGTCACCATAAAATCACTGTCTCATGGCATATGCTGCACTTTTCTTCTGGTTACTATACATGTGTAAGAGTTTTTACATTTCTTTATATATGGTTTATTTCATGGCACTGTCAGTAGTTAAGACTACCTACCATCAAATGACTGGATGATTTATAATGAACTGGGACAGGATGTCAGATGGGCAGTTGTGTTATTGGTATTTGTACAAACTGCAGAAAAAAAAAAAAAAAACCCCCCAGCNCAGTCACTACAGATGGTCTCCAGACAAATACTTCAACCCCAAACCTCCCAAATGCAAAGCAGGGATGCCACCCACTCGATCATGAAGTTGAGTCAGTTTTCATTGTACAATACAGGGTCTCCTATATACAGCCATCACCGCAGCACTGTTTGGCAACCATTTCATCCTTCAGCAGTCACAATGTGGTGAGTGTGTGAGTTTAGAGGCCAATCAGCTTCCACGGCTGTTGGGTTCCCTACTTGGTACAATGGCACTAAACAAAAGACTGTTGATCAGGAGTATACATTTATAAGACTGTCACAAAAAATATCCAATTAGATAATTTCAATATGTTTCATTCCAAGAGTTTTTCAATTGACCTAATCCTTACAGCTGCACTATGGCCCTGGGGTTGACTGAGGCTCTAACAGAAATGAGTACCATAAAAATTCCTGGGAATAAAGGATGGCTGGTGTGTGAGGCTCACATCCTCACCGCCATCTGTGAGCCAACTGTCTAGAAAATGTGGGAGCCTTAATGTCACCCAACCCCACAGATCTTCACAGCCAGTTACAGGGATAGCTTTACCATCTTTTTATTTAAAAAAGTCACAGATGAAGAATGGGCACTTTCCCCAGCAAATAATACATACGTATATACACATTTTAAAGAATACCTACTACCAACCTCAAAATTCCACGGTCTCTCCCTTTCATGAGGAGAAAAAAATAATAATAATCTGAATAAAGTGACCACTTTTCATGAAACTTGACATGAATATTATGCCACCAGAGACCACCAAAATATCATTTAATATCTTAGAGCTGGTAATAACAATACTGTGGGCTGGCAAACTTGAGCTGGGAGTGACATCACACATACAGTCAGTAGTCAATCTAGTACCTGCATTCCTGCCCTGTTCAAATACGGAACAACACTTGATGAATAACAAAACTTTGCCTCACAGCTGCGCTGCTGATCCTCCTGACCTCCCTTCTTTAGCTGAGGTTCATACTGGCTGACTAGTTTGAAGGAGCATGGTATGTGTTAATCAATAAATTATACCTGCTCAGAACACAATATGAACAACAAAGCAAACTACGGAATTAACACTCATGAAATTGCATTCATTTAAAAGACTCAGACTCAATGTAATTCAGTCACAAAACCTGTTCAGGATGGAAAGCAAAGAATATATATATAAGGTTATAGGCTGTGAGTAGCTTTGTGTTTGTTACTTCAGTAGACCATGCATAGACTTCGTCAAATTTTTTCACAACTTGTAACATTTTGAAAGATCATATATGAATCATTTTTAAGTATCAAATTTTGGATTTAGGGTCACCTAATTATTAAATTATTAAATTAGGTTTCACCTATTGTTATGTATATGACTTTATCACATGTACAATTTTTATTCTGATTTTTTTCTTATTTTATTGTATTTTATTGTTAATTTTAACCAAGGTCTAGTCTAAGTTTTGTCTGGATTGTGAACTGAATAGGAACTAACTTGTACAAACCATTTATAAAAATGGGAATGTTAGCATTGCAGTTCAATAATAGTATAGATGACCCATTTGAGGTCGAAACATGTAGTGCACGCTATATAAATAAATAATAAAGTAGTGTTGCCTTGACAGTAAAAAAATTATATATGTTCACTGTATATGCACAACAGGATGCAATCCTTAAAAATTGTAAATTCCAGTTTTACAACTGAATCTGAAATTTAAAAAATGTATTTGTAATAGTAATGCTACTAAAATTCGATGGGAATTCTATCCAATTTTACAATGTCATTATTAACATGATATCAGTTGTTAACAATTTTTATATCACGAATGTACAACTTATAGATATAGCAACTGCATTATATTTATTCTGTATAATTACATGCACCTGAGTCCAGCATATCTATCAACTCATGAACTAACTGCATGTCACTAATTGATTATAAATTTTCAATACCAAAACATCACATTAACAATAGTGTGAAGGAAGTAGGCTTCATAAGCTGTACCTACAAGTCCTATGAAAATTAGTTTCTCATTCCATGGTAATAACTGAGATTGAAAGATATTAATGAGAATGTTTGGACCTGGAAGAAATGAAGTAAAAGTAAATGTAGAAAACTACTTAATGGCAGTGGCATGTGGTACTATTTTTGGTAAGGGAAGCAGTGGTATCTAATAAACGATCTGATAGCATTCAATTCACCAAAATTGACATCACTTATTGAGTCAATAGGGTCGTTTTGTATTCTGTTCGATAAGCCTGTAAATACTGTACTGTTCTCAAGGTGAACATTGAGTTTATGATCACATTTCCTCAACAGGTGAACTAATTCCACATATGTGGTGCAATCCAAAAGTTCCCGAAATATATTAATAAAAACTATTACATCTTACCTAGATCTTATTCTGCACCATCATCTTCAAAGTAGTCCCCTTGGGAATGCATACACCGATCACAGCATTTCTACCACTTTTCAAATGCATCCTGGAAGTCTTTCTGTGTTAGGGTGTTTAGTACCGTCTGCGTTTCCGCTTGAATTTCCTCAACTGTATCAAATCTTTGCCCATTCAACTTGATTTTCATCTTGGGAAAGAGAAAGAAGTCGCATGGAGCTAAGTCTGGCGAGTACGGTGGGTGGGGAACAACTGCCATCTTGTTTTTAGCCAAAAATTCCTGCACAATGTAAGCTGTATGCGGTCGTGCGTTGTCATGGTGGAGTACCCAGTTGTTC